TTTTTTTTTTAATTTTTAGGCTTAAACAATTTGGGCAATAATTTGATGAGGAACGCGCAGTTACAGCCAAAAATGGAAGAGTTCCAAGCAAGCGGTTTGCATCAGTTAGTTGAGAATCGACGATAAAAATACTGCGTTCCCATAGAGAGACTGTACTTTTACCATCGATCCTTGACTTAATGCTGGTATGGTGCCGCCGCCAAGGCCACTGAGTTGCAACGCACTTTGATAGACTCCTAAAAACCGACTATACCTCTCAAATAGCAATGGCACGACTGGATCAGCTTCTTCTTCCTCCTTAGTGAGGCGCTCGAATAATGGATGCTCGGAAAGGTGTCGAACCATCCATTCATGCAGTTCCTTCACGTCAGTTATCGTGTACACCAATCCTACAATATTATAAATTAAAAATCAAAGGAAGATAAGAGAAAGAAAAGATCTTTACAACGCACGACGACTGTTAGACTGGAGTTACAGTACTAGAACTTCTTCGTTCAAAACTTCTGTTACAAAAGGTTGTTATATCCAAAAAATCTTTAAAATCTGCACGAGCTTTAGAAGGCTGAGCTAGACTCTAGAGCTAAATTCGACCAAAAATCATCAGGAATGAAACGCAAATTACGGATTTCAGATTGCAATGTTAAGGAAATAATTTAGAGCTTAAAATAACTTCTGGCATAGAGAGCATTTAACGACAACGCCTGGCAGAGTTCCTATTATCCCACTGACTCGACTATTCGTGAAAGTACTGACATACTATTGCTAGTATGGAACTGATCTCTAACTTAAAGTGCACATAGTAGTCTCGTTGACGCAACACGTGCCCGGTATAATGAGAAATTTTGCATTTTTCGTTAACGTGATTGTCGTTGTCAAATAAAACCATGCAAAGTGAAGTGCGCATGACACACAAAGGGTGACATCACTCGCAGGAAGTTGAAAAAATGTGCAAGGAAACAACATATAAATTCCATAATTACAACTGCAGAACAGATCACAATTTTTCTAAAGTGCTTCTCAAAACCGTAAATTTGAGATCATGCAAAACGCAGTGGCTAAGTTTATAAATGAGGGAAAAATTCTGCAAACACTTGTGATTGGAGAATAAATGTAGAGGTAGGCGAATACAAAGGGGAAAAGTAGTCCACAAAATAATGCCTGACATTTCTTCTTACACAGTAACAGTCGTGAGAACGAAAATACGACGAAAGGAGCACTTCAAATCCCTGTGATGACTAAACATGAGGAGGAAACGAAAGATGGGAAGGTCAAATTTTACAGTATTTACGTAAACAAGATCAAGGGGTATAGCACTCAACGCCAAATCGACTGAGAAAGAGGCGCAACTGCGTTATGCGCGCATGCTCAGGTGTGAATAATCGCTTATAGACATACATGCGATAGGGTGAAAATCTTGCTCACCCCCCTCACCTTGGGACAGAAAGCAGGCTGACCCCCTTCACCAAAATCAGGTGAAAG